TCTACTCACTTCAAGCCCAGGCCATACTGAGGCAGTGCTGCCTGCTGGCGCCCTTATATACCTGCCCTGCGTTGTGATGTCACAGTTGCCATGGCGCATCACGGGCACGCATCACAGGCACGCCCCAGCCTTCAGCCCCATCCCGGCTCAGCCACACACAGCTGCCCTGGTGCACTGCTTAAGGCTGAGCTAGAGTTAATTTTCCTCACAGAAGCATTCGTTGTGCTGGGGCTTTTCTGTTTTATTGTCACCCACCCATCAACTGCAGTCTCATAATACTACAACATCCAGTTCTGTTCACTGTCTCTCTCCATGATCTTGAGGAGGAGGTGGAGTGCACCCTCAGGAAGCCTGCAGATGACAGCAAGTAGAACAGAAGTGTTGATCTGCTTGTGGGTAAGATGGGGGTACAGAGGGATCTGCTCAGGCTGGATCAATGGTCCAAGGCCCTTTGGCTGAGGTTCAACAAAGCCAAGTACTAGGTCCTGTACCAGGGGTTACAACAACTCTGTGCAATGTTACAGGCTGGGGGATGAGTGGCTGCAAAGCTGCCTGGTGGAGAAGGACCTGGGAGTGTTGCTTGACAGCCGCCGCCTGCATATGAGCCGGCACTGTGCCAAAGTGGCCAAGGCGGCCAAGGGCATCCTGGCTTTTAAGAGAAATAGCACCGACAGCAGGACCAGGACAGTGATTGTCCCCTTGCACTTGGCACTGGTGAGGCTGCTCCTCGAACACTGTGTTCAGTTTTAGGCACCTCGCTAAAAGTCAGACATCTTTAAGTTCTCTTCCAACCCAAACTGCTCTGTGATTTTGTGTGATTCTGTGCTAGAGTATGTCCAAAGGAGGGCAACCAAGCTGGTAAAAGGTCTAGAGCACATGCCTTAAAGGGAGCAGCTGAGGAAACTTGGTGTTGTTCAGCCTAGAGAGAAGGAGTCTGAGGGGAGACCTTATCTTTTTCTACAAATGCCTGACCGGAGGCTGGAGTGAGCAGTGGGTCGGTCTCTTCTCCCATGTAACGAGCAACAGGGCAAGAGGAAATGGCCTCAAGTTATGCCAGGGTAGGTTTAGATTGGGTATTAGGAAAAATTTCTTGGCCGAAAGGGTTGTCACGCCTTGGAACACGCTGCCTAGGGAAGCGGTTGAGTGAGCATTGCAGGAGTTATTTAAAAGGGGTGTAGATATGTTGCTTAGAATCCTAGAATCCTTCATGTTGGAAAAGAGCCTTGGGATCATCGAGTCCAGCCATACCGCCGTGGGATCGTGGACCCCAGCCATTACCCCTACTCTACAAAACTCACCCCTAAATCGTATCCCCCAACACCACATCTAAAGGACCTTTAAACACGTCCATGGATGGTCTCCCTGGGCAGACTATTCTATTGTGTGCGACTCTTTTTGTGAAAAAATTTTCTAATGTCCAGTCTAAATCTAGCGTGTTGCACTCTGAAGCCATTGCCTCCTTTTCTAACGTTAATTAACTGAGAAGAGACCCACACCAGCCTCTCTACTATGTCCTTTCAGGTAGTTGTAGAGTCATGAGGTCTCCTCTTAATCTCCTCTTCTTTAAACTAAACAGGCCCAGCTCCTTCAGTCGGTCTTAATAATATTTATTCTCCAGGCTCTTCCCCAGCTTCATTGCCCTCCTCTGCACTTGCTCTATAGGGCTTCTCTAACCTCATGCAGATCAACACTCCCACCTAACTTGGTGCTGTCTTCAAACTTACTAACAATACCCTGTATTTCCTTATCAAGAACATCAACAGAGTTGTTCAACAGAAATGGTCCCAACACTGAGCCCTGAGTGACTGGCCACTTGTGACTGGCCGCCAGCTGGATTTATCTCTACTGACGGCCACTCTTTGGGCCCGTCCTTCCAGGCAGTGTGTTATCCAGCAGATCGTATGCTCATCGAAGCCATGAGCAGACAGTTTTCCCAAGAGAATTCTGTGGGGAACAGTGTCAAAGGCTTTTCGAAAGTCTAGGTGGGCAATATCCACAGCCATAAGGCCATGGTTGGGTGGTGGAGTGGGCAGTGCTCTATTAACAGTTGGACTTGATAATCTTAAAAGTCTCTTTCAGCCTAAATGATTCTATGATTTTATGACCTTGAGTTAAAAGGGAGTGTGGCAGGTGCATTCCCCCTGCTCTGGAATGATAGAATCATAAAGATTGGAAAGGACCTTCAAGATCGTCAAGTCCAAACTATAGCCCTACACCACCCTAACACTAAACCATCTCCTGAAGTGCCTGTGGCAGGTAGTTCCTCCTCCCAGCTAAGCTGTTGCTAGGCAGATTCCCTGGGCTAGTCCAGACTTGTCTATGAAACTTGAGC